TTACTCGATGTACAGGCAATCGTGGTGGATGGCAGTTGATGACTATCAAGCCTCCAAGTGGGAGAATGTTGGGTTTGTGGAGGCTTGGGCTTGACTTTTGGCCCGGCCCATGTTACGAAACCCTAGATGCACTCTTCCTATATATATTGCATACTTGTACTTGTAATTCGCACCACAAGTGAAATAAGAAAATCCTCATGTTGCCGCCGTGGATTAGGGAAACCGAACCACGTTAAATTCTTGTGTGTCGTTTGTGTTCCGTTTCTCGCAGATTATTTGTGTGTGTTGTGTGTTTATTTCCCAACAGATATATGAGAAATAACATCAATAATGTGCTGCTGGACCTGCGGTTTAAGCAGTAGTAGTGAAAGCATATGTATTAGACCACAACTAGAGAGCCAAAAGGTGCTACTTTGGTATGCAGAATGGAGCCCAAAAATTTTTATATCTGCTTTGGTGTTTTCTATATCCTTTGTCTAGAAATAATGATTCCTTAAAGATTACCATAGAAACAATTATTCCTTGAAGAATGCCAACTAAATGTGCATCCTTCTTTCTTTTGCTACATACAGTACATAGAGGGATCACCACAACAACTATGAAATGGCTGTATTTATCATATTTTCAAAGGAATATTAATCAATATGTTGACATTCCAATGCACAATAGAGGCAAGTTTTTCACTGAAAAAGCTAGAAATGGTATACCTGCACATTCTTTTCATTCCATCCAGGGACAACAGATAAAAATCGAATCAAAATCTCTACTGATGGGTCAAGTTCTTGAAGTGCCATAACCTGCCCTTTAAACGACAGGATAGCTGCAAAGACGAGAAGTTGACAATACAAAAAAATATAAATTGAGAAAATGTAGTGCTGAGAGTTTAATCTTGGTGAGGCGCATAAGGCCGTAAGGGAACCTATTTTGTGACTAGGATGGAAAGAGGACATAGAAAGGCTTGTACAACAACAAACAGAGTAAAATCCCACCAAAGTAGGGTCTGTGTGGGTGTGTGTATGCAGACCTTTTCCCTACTCGAGTGTAGAGAGGTTGTTTCCAGGAAATGTGTTTATATCATTATATGTGATAATGACAGAAATTGGAATTATCTTACGACCTTCAACCCTCTCTTTCCATGATGCACTCTTCAACATGGAAATTGTGTCCAGCTGTATAAGGGAACCTATTCTGCTCTCAATCTGTTCGAGACTCATATCTTCTGGCTGTGGTAAAAAAGTTTAAATTAAGGCAAATAGCAAAATTGTATTCTGTAGCACGAAAAGCATTTTTAAAATCAGAAACAGTTTGGTGCACATCAAGGTGTAAAAATAACAGTGAGAAACTAACACAAGAAAACACAATTTTTCTTGCCTCTACATCTTCAACATCCACAGACTTGGACAGTTTCAACTGCCCGCCTCCGTTCCCTTTTTTTGGCAGCTCCAGGTTTTGCAGGCACTACTTTCTTATTGATGGGCTAAAATAAAAAAAAAATAGATTTTACTAGCCCAAAGCTATTTTCCACTAGATTTGAAACAAATAAAAAAAACAAAATTGTCCGCTAAAAGAAAGTAAAACTTACAGCAGCCTGAACAGCATTTTTCCCATTAAGCATACTAGTAGCTGACCTCCTAACAAATGATCCATCTGCTGCCTACAAATACAAACAGAGACATTGGTGATTGGCTTTGGCCTGAAAAGCCCAGATTTTAAACCAGCTGATCAAGTTGTGCCCAACAACCTATCAGCCTGTCCCAAGGTAAAAGAGCCGTCTAGATACTAAGTCATCAAATTGTTTTGAAGGATAGAACTAAATTTCAGAAAAAAAAAAGTGACAAGCATCCACATGACTTAAATTCTTACTGTTCATCCATTCTCCACATGTTGAAAAAAAATGATTTGTTGTGTACTTATATCCCAGAAAAGGATTGACGTTTCTCAAGACACTCTTAACAATATACTCCATACGATTCTCATGTTAAAAAGATAGAACATGTTAAAACTAACAGAATGGACAACACTTTAGGCAAAAAAGATATTTACCGTGGAGGAAGGTACAATTGCTCCAGAGGATGGCACTGCAACTGCGTTAATCATTTGATTAGGTATGTGAGGTATAATTAAAGAGAAGATGCGTCTTTGCAAGAAAGAAGAACTCAAATAGTTTTATCTTGTTGAAAATAAGATTAATTTAAAGCCAGAGCTACCATCAGATTCACTAGCCCCAGCAATCATTTCAGAAAGCTTCTTCCTTCTGACATCATCGAGTTTTTCAATTGATTTTTCTAAAGGTCGCATGCCAACCAACTACAAAATAAATCAGGTAAAAAGCACAATCTCACTGCATTGTGGAAGTAAAAAGATGGATAAATTACGAACAGTAAGTCGGTAACAAACTCTTCTCAGAATAATACCTTAGCAATAGCTGACAAAGCTGAAAATGCAGCATCTCTAACCTCTGGTGTTCCATCACTCAGGCACTGCATGAGCAAAATTTCATAATTATAACAAAAATAGATGCCATTAACAAATAATTCACTCATTACATATATGGAGTATAAACAAAGAAAAACTAAATTTT